ATATCAATATATTATCATTCTTTTCTCATTTAAAACTGGAAATGTTCAATTTCTTCAGCCACTTTGTTAAGGAATTGACAACGAGCCAACAAATAAGTTCTTCATGGTTTTAACATTTTTAGCATGCAAACCATCAAACAGCATAAATGCAGTTTAAGATCTTGAATGAGAACGTGTAAAATTTACCTCATCTTCTAGCGAGGCTTGTTTCTCTGTCTCTACAATCCAGTCAAACAATAAACTCTCTTGTAGAACACAATCAGAGGACACTGCTTCACTAGACCGTTTTCTTATCTGGCGTTCCCTAAGTCGCAAGTTGTAGTGAACATAGATAACTTCATTCAATCTTTTCTGTGCTAAACGGTTATGCCTTTGGCTGTAGATCTGATCATGTATGCTCCAATTGTGCTCACACCCAAAAGATGAGCAGGTTTGGCTTAGTATTCGTACAGCTATCTTTTGCAGCTCCAAACAATTTATCCCATGTTGTTGCCACCATGCAGCTAGGGATAGGGAGACTTGTCAGTTCAATTCATGCTTAATGGTAAATTTCATCCAAAGTGCTTTGATGGTAGTACCTGGATCAAGCTCTGATCTGGTACTAATTGCCAAGTCAGTTCCAAAATCAGCTTTTGCAGAGCCAAATTCAGAAATCTGAAACAGTACAAGAACACATAAGGATATTAATGCGCAGAAAATGGATTGCCTTGAAATAAAATGTCATTGGATTTATTAAGGAAACTCCCACCTGCATAGATGCAGAAATCCTTCTTGCACTGTCCGGTTCCAATCGAACAATGCATGCATTCAGTCCACGTACAACATCTGGATGCTACAAAATTCACACATTTTACTAAATAAAAACAAAAATTAAAAATAGAATTAATATTGTGCTATTTCATATGAAAGATTCTGAGTAAAACACCATTCTCCTACCGGAACAAAATCCGGACGGTAGCGATACGATGGATTAAGAAAGTAAGCAGCCAAATAGAGAGGGTGATGAAATAGCGAACTCCAATGATTGTCAATCACACTCCAAAAGGGTCCATACTTGCGTGCATCATCATTATGATTGATTTGAATTGCAAGCTTTGCCCTGTACATGTCATTGTAGATGAATGGCATCGAAAGGTTCTCATCACCGTTGATCTTTTGTAGCACTTCCACAATAGGGTCAACTGATCTCCTAACATACTGCACCTTCCTCCAAAATGAGGAATCCAGCACAATGTTTTTCACCTCCTTACCCAATTCCAATTTTGAAAACCTAGATGAAAGCCATTTATTTGACTGAAACATTCTTCTAAGACCAATCCTATGATCAAGCAAACTTTGCAAAGTAGTAAAACTTGAAGCACATCGGGTAACAGATGGCCTCAAAACTTCCTCACCTCCAGTAAATTCCTTTTTCATCAGATTCAACAACCAGATCCTATTGTAAATGAACCTTGTAATTTTTTGGCCTTTCTCTATGCATTCTCGCACCCGATTTATTTTCATAAAATCTTCAAGCATGCCATCAATACAAAAGGCAGCACAAGGAGTCCAAAATAAATTCATTCTCTTCTCTTCAAGCATCTTCCCAGCCTCCCGATAGCTGCATGTATTTTCGGTGATTACCTACAGTTACAGTTAATATCAGCAAGGAGTAGACAAAAGCTGGGTCAACTAGTCTGAGCATAAAAATAACAGAAATATAACAGGTGCAAATGTAAAACTTACCTGCACGACATTTTCTTCACCCATCTCCTCAACCACTCTGTCGAGCATTTTAAACAAATATTCAGCATCATCAGCAACACCCGTGGCATCAACTGAACAAGCAAAGTATACGCCACGGGGGCAAGAAACTAAAACATTGATCAATGTCCTACCCTGCATATCTTGCCAACTATCTGCCAAAATGGAACACCCTGTAACTGCCCAGGAAGACTTGTACTCAGCAAGGTAGTTTTTGATGGTCAAAAGCTCATCCTGCAGGAACCGACCTGATAACAGTTGGCTTGATGGTCCTATTAGACCTGGCCCATACTGACCAACCAAATCTAGCATTTTATGGAAATAAGGGGAGTTGGCTGCATGTAAAGGCACTCCTGCATGATAGAAGAATTTGCAAATAGCAGAAGTGATCTCTCTCCGCGACTTGTTGGAGGAACCTGTTTTTATTTGTTTGCCAGATGCTTGCATCTGACTCTTGGGTGTCATCAGAATATTAGCATCAAACCTGGGCCTTCTCGGTGATGGTTCACGGCCATTACCCGGAGAGATCCCTTTGAAACTTCTTCTCAAATCTTTGCGATATCTTTTATTGCCAAGCAAAAGTTTATCATTGCCCAAATGATGTATGTCTTCCTTCTCTTCTTCCTCTTCGTCTTCCTCATCTTCATTTTCTGAGTTAACATAGAAGGATGATATCTCCTTGATACCAGGTCGTCCATGCCTCCTTCCCGTACGATGCCATTTCATATTCTCTTTTATTTTTATATATACTTCCTCAGGCGCACTCTTACATGGAGCAACTTCTCCTGGTATTCTAGCAAGATGTTGCTTGAACCGATTAATACCACCACTCACTATCTTGTCACAGTAATTGCATTTTACCTTTTTCTTCCTGTCATCCTGAGGAACACCATATTCCCACCCAGGGTCAACATATCCCAATGAACGAAGAGGAGTCATATTTATCACTAAACCCTTGTCACTGACCAATTGCTTACCTTTATTTCTATATCCAGAATGCTCATCCTCCTCCTCCACATCATCAGTGGCTTGAAAATTCAAAAAAGATTGTTCATCGTACTCAATTTGCCTTGCCTTCTTACCAAAACGACACCCTTCTAGATTTTCTCTCATTTTCTGGCACACCTCCTCTGGAGCTTTGTCGCAATAGGTTACTTCTCCAGAAATCCGAGCTAGATGTTGCTTCAATCTGTAGATCCCACCACTAACTACTTTTCCACAGTAATTACATCTTACCTTCTTCTTTCTCTCATCTTGCGGAACACCATGCTCCCACCCAGGATCTACATATCCAGCTGAGCGAAGTGATGCCATCTTCAGACCATTCCTTGTGATGCACTGCAGCTGTTTTCACGACAATAAATTTCAGTAGCAGGAGAAAAACCACAAGATATTTGGTAGTCCTACTTGGTAACGCATGATTATGTTATGTTAAAACTGAATCGAAATACAAAACATATTTAAGAAGTCAAAACCTTAGTCATTCTTGGCACAAAATCAAAGTCTAGATTGTGAGAATTTTTGCGAGTAGCATACCCAATAATAATGCACCTTTCCAATTAACAAATCTTTAATTTTATTTTTTGACACAGGAATTCCTAATCTGAATCTTTCTTTAATACTTAAAAATTAAAATCAAACACAGTCACAGCTTCATTTTGAAGATTAAAAAACCCGTGTACTGAAAATGGCAATAAGCCTCTCTACAGTAGTTCAAGAAACGATGACAAACCTAAAATTTTACTTCAATCTTTAGAACATTCCACAATTTCTTTATAATAATTTTTCACAATTACTAAAATTCTATGACCTTACAGCCCCAGAAACACAGATTAACTAAATATTACAATCAGAATATTCGTTAAAAGATTTGATTGATTTACTCACTAAAAGAAAACCGTTAAAACTTGCAATTAATACAAGAAATCTCCAAAACAGTTACTGAAAAACAAATGAAAAGAAACAAAACAGCAAAAAATTCATCTATAATCAAGATAGTAATAAATTGTGGGTTTGCATACCATAAAATTTTAGCCGATTCTGACCCTATCGGTGGATATTGGTGTTTCAATTTGAGTTGCATTTCACAGTTGAAATTAATTTGTCGTATAATTCGAGGAATTATTACAGAAAACTAAAAAAATTCATGGATCGGAGAAAAGAACGAGTCGGATGATTTGAGAATCGTGACTCTCTGAGTGAACACGGGGTTGGGACGGCCGGGTTCTAGGGTTTCCTGTTTAATTCTATTTCTACTTTTTCAATAAAGTTATTATTATTATTTATTTCTAAGTTTAATGATTTTGATTGTACGACGTTTTATTTTACAATTTATTTTATTTTAATACTTTATTATTAGGAACAAAATAAAAGAAGAGAATTGAAAGAGAATAATGTACTGTAATTTTCTGACACAAAAATAGGGTTAATTTCATTTTTGATCACTGAAATTTCAATAAATCTCAATTAGGTCATCCAACTTTAACTACTTGTTATGTTTGACACTTCACTAGCCCAGTCGCTATATGTTAGTCCCGTTGCTAAATTAAGTGTCACGGTCGTCAACTAGTGGCCGCAAAATCTTGAATATGGAGAGATGCCCTAAGTATCCTTCATCGCCATCGATTTACCTATCATTATCAATCTTTCTCATTCTTCTCAGCATCTTTCGAGGAACCACCAATTTACGGCCTCGAGTGAGAATACTTTTTGATCAATCGAGACATGTAATAGCACTATATTTTAAAGTGAAATTGTCCGTCGATAACTACTGCGATCTTTTTGGACAATTATTCTTACGATACAACGATTAAATCACTTGTGCAGCAATTGTAAATAATTTCCAGAACTTCAAGATTTACTCTAGAACAATATTTGAGAAAAATAATTTTAAAATTAGATTTTTGTAAAGCGCAGGAAGAAATTTCTGTATCATTTTCAAGAAAATAAGATGTTTATATAGCCCAAAAAATAACTTTCAATATTAACTTGGAATTAATAAAACAAACTCTTGATTTTATTAATCCACAATAAGTTAGAATGTAATTATAAAAATAAAAAAAATGTTATTTTAATTATTACTATAAATCAGCAAGTAACTTCAAACTCATGTATAATAATGACTAGTTTGACCAAGATATATCGAAAATGATAAAAAATAAATAAATAATTATTTTAGTAGAAGAAGCCCAAAGGACTAATGTTCCTGTAGAATGTGATTTGAATTGATAACGACAGTTTGAACAAAGGTAACCAACATGAACAAAAAGTTCTTTAGAGTTATCGGTTTTTCTTGTCGTTTGAGTACTTGTCAGCCTAATTTCCGGAGTAAATCGTCATCATTCGACCACAGACGAGGATGGCCAGGAGCTCTTCACCACCGCCAAGTCGGTTGTTCCCAAACCGATTATAAGTGCGTCGATAGCATGTCCTCCTTGGCCAACAATGTCAGTGCCACTCCTAATGATTTTCTCCATGCTGCTACTAATGCAGCCATTGAAGAAGTGCAAGCTGCAATGTATAGGTCTCTAACAATTGGACAAGCAGCCAACGCCTCGTTCCAAAAGATGGCTGTCTACGATTACAAGGAGTTGCTGGAATATGCTGACGAGGAGCTGCAGGCATCCTATTCCATGGTTCAGGGTAGTAACTTCCACACGGCTGAAGATAGAGAAGCTGAGCTCAAAAAAGGTTAAGCGGTCATGTTGTACGAACATAGCTGGATAGATGGTTTTACAACACCATAACTTCATCAAAAATACTAAATGTACAGTCTTTTTGACAACCCCCTCACATGAGGGTGGGGCTCATAATCGCGGGCACCACTCCCAAGTGAGGGGACTGTCAAAGTGAATGTACAAAACGGCCGTACATATAGCACAATTCTAACTTCATAATGCAATATCAAATGGATCTCTCAATGCCACTCAGTTAAATGACAATAAACTGGAATTGTCGCTGCCACTTATCAAATTTTTCAGACAATTAGCCTTCCATTTAACACGACTGCGACTGCGACTTCTACTTCTCAGAGATTGCTCGATGACTTCTACTTCTCAGAGATTGCTCGATGACGATCATGATATGTTGAACACGATGGGTTCCCTTACCTTGTTCCTGGCTGGAGACAGCGAAAAAGGTGGATAACCAGCACCTAAAATTGCAACTGTGTCATCACTGGTACCATTGACTTCATATTTGGAGATTCACCAGCAATCATCCAAAACAGTACGATCATATTGAGGAAGCCAATCGACATCCAACAGAACACAGTGACAGCACATGGACGAAGTAATATTTGGGATACGACTGGTGTAGTGATCTAGAACTGCAGAATAGTTCCAGAGCAGTAACTGGAATCCGTAAAGTTCCAAATACAGACTAATCTGGGACAGCCATGGAAAGAGTACTCGAAGGGCTGTGATAATCGAATTGACATTTGGCAGATTTTATCCAACCAGCAGGATGGTTGCCATGGGATGGAAACTTATATCTTGTTACTCTATATATTGCAGAGTAGGAAAACAGGGGACCGGCTGCTGCTACATATAAGCGGGTGAAATGGCCACGTGATTAGAGACAGGAATCAAGCACTTTAGTTCACTACTGGTCCATTTAAACAAGGAGGTTAATGGTTGAAGAACACCGGTGCACCTTTCTTCCTTGGATTCAAATCCTAAACAAGAAAACACGACTGGCCAGATTGCACACACATTTCAGATAGAAAAAAAGCAAATACCGTCATGCAAGTACTAATTTAGACTAGACTTGAGCATCTAGACTGCAGATAAGAGAGGATGGACGAGCGCTAGATAATTGCCATCCCCGCCTTCATCTGCAAATGTGCTTCCTGTTAGAACCATATTTTCTTTCTTTCATAGTTATTCCCTCAACAAGTTTAGAAATATATTTTATAATAGTCAGATTATGCTGTACAATAAACATTGCAACAAATTTACCATCTTTTCACAGTAAAAAGCAAGCTATTAGAAAGAGCAAAAGAAGAAAATGATAGCATTGAACCTCTTTTTGTCGATCCAAACTGGGAAAAGGAAATTTCAATTAATAAATAAAGAACTGCCATATCACAAAGAGAATTCGATAAAGAAAATTGCAGAATATTAACAAAAGAAAACTTTGTAGAGTACCAAATCAACCAACGAACGACACAACATAAGGCTGTAGTTACAAATGGAAAACACCAAATTACAATGAACTCACAAGATCTATAAGCATAATCCCAGACCAGAAACAGGCAAATGGTCATTGATACACACCCACCCACACACACACAGGCTTTAATGCTGCAAGTAAATCAGAACACGTTTCCACTTGACAAACCATGTTCATTCGTAAATTCCAGATTCCCTCGGACAAGCCGAACAGAGAATTGAAAATCCATTCGTCCAAAGTAAATATGACAAAAAATAAAACAGGAAGAAGGATAAGAAGACAAACACGGTAAGCACTTCACTGCTGTACAGACATGGGTCCAGCAAGGTAGATGATTCAACGATCCAATTTTCCGCATTTATTAGCAGAATCGTAACAACAAAACCACAACGATTCAGTCTTTGATAAGAATATAACAAATTACATTCTCCTGCTAACCTAATCCAGTATGATATAAATCAAAAGGCACCTAACTGACCATACAAAGGAGCTTGTGAAATTATGAACCTCCTCAGATCATTGCCAGCCATCTCTATTCATCACATAATCAGAAAATTAAACATTTCAAACCAACTCTGCCACCGTCCATCAAGAAAACAGAAACAAAAAATTACATATGACTAGCCTTTGGTCAATCTGCAGCCATGAAGGGATCTGTATCGCCAAGATCAGCTAACAATGGTTCTAATTTTGTAGAGTCTTCATCTTCTGTTGCAAAATAGGTTGGAAATGGAAGCAATGATATGTCTGGCTTCTTGTACACTGCATCTTTTATGAACACAAAATTTCCTGTAGCACCTGGAACCTGGAAAAGTAGCAGCAGTCACAAAAATGCATAAAAATAAATTTTAACTACAAGCTAGCTGACTTCTGGACCAAAACAAATGATTCGAAATTAAGATTGGTGAATACAACAACACAACTAGAAGCTAACACAGATTTCAAACAAGAAACAAAAGGAAATAAGGAAGGGAAAGAAAAGCATACTTGGCCTTTCACCCACATCAAGTTCCTAGCAGGGTCAATTTTGTAGACCCATACATTTTTAACTGTTCTTTGATCGACGCCCATGTGCCCAGGCATTTTTTTCCCTTTAAATACCTGTTAGAAAAGTAAAATATAATTAAAAGTGGAATAACATTACAAAACAGATTCCACAAAACCAAACTGAAATGTTATCATCAGGAAATAGATGCACACCTTCCCAGGAGCATCCCTTTGACCAGTAGAACCAATACTTCGGTGAGATAATGATGCACCATGAGATGCAGGCATACCTTTAAAGCCCCACCTTTTCATCCCACCCTAAAAACAGAAGAAAATGAGATTACAATATTATGATGCAACTTCAGAAAAATTGTAACTCTTTAGAAAAGTACCACAGATTCATCATAGGGAGCAAGTTACTAAAAACAATGAAGTCCCAAGACCAGGATAAAATTTTCAATTGCACCATGGTTTAAAAAGGCGGTAGTGAGGCGCGCCTTGAGGCCCACCTCACTGTGAGGCGCATATAGTATGCCTCGAGGCGGTATTTTTGAAGCTAAAAATATGAGGCACAAGCCTCTAAATCTGAGGCGCACTCCTCAAAGCGTGCGCCTCATTTAAAATTTGATTTTTCAATTGTATGAAAAGAAATCAGAAAGAACCCTTCTTAAAAAAGAAAATTGCCCATTTAAAAAGTCATTTTGGATCCAAATAAAACAATAAAATACCTAGAAAACTAAACGACAGCCAGAAATTAGAAGACCAAAAAGGAAAACATTCAACAGAAATTCAAAAGTCAGAAATTGAGAGTAGCGANACAGAAAGCGTCAGATAGGACATATTGGAAAATCTTCACCTAATAGATTAAAATTGAAAAACTAGCCGTTATTGTTGACTTTTATTAGACGAGTGAGACCCAATAACGGCTATATTTTCAATTTTAATTGGATTTTAAGCTTAACCAAACATGCTCTTAGATTTTTTTTTTGTGAGGCGTCGCCTTGAGGCTTACGCCTCGCCTCATACAGAAGAACTGCTTTAATACTTAATTTCGCCTTTTTAAACCTTGAATTGCACGAGCAATAAGCATCAAGCTATCATTTTTTGTTTCTTGTATAAATTATAGATTGTACACCAGCTCTTTCAGGTTCCATCTCCAAAAAGAAAAGAAGGTCCTAATTCTTCTAAAGATGTTACATCAGAAAAATGAAAGTTGACGCAAGAAAATAGACAATGATCCAATCTGTATGTAATAAGGACATTGCATAAAAAAAGAGGTTACAGAAGATCTGTAGATTTGTAGGTAACATGAGGATCCAAATACATTAGATGTTTTATTCTTGTAAATATGGATAAGTCAAATTACCTTTTTTATTATATCTAATTGTGCAGATTGTTGGACATGATTGAACCCTCAGAATTTTGAGTTGAAAGAATATTTTCCATGACCGGTATCTACTTCTGTTTGTCTCCCCAAGTTGAAAGTTAGAAGGTTTAAAATTTTGGTCGTGTTTAATTTAGCTGGTGTACACTTCTATGGTTGTACTTAGCATGAAGACTATATTTCTCACTTACATGACAAAAGTCAAAAAGAAGAAGAATTACGATTATATTAAGATTACCATGTTATCAATTGAGTGCGAGCTGCCCCATTTGACTGTTCAAATCTTCTTAGAGTCAAATGGAATGAAAAGCTCAAAAGAAGGATAACTATGAACAATTAACAAGATCAAACACAAGTGCAGGAAAGAATTGGCAGTCACCTGAAACCCTTTTCCTTTAGTAATTCCAGTAACATCCACATATTGTCCAGGAACGAAATGGCGGACATTGATGGATGTACCAACTGGTAGAAGAGCATCTTCAGTCACTGGAAACTCCCTCAGCTTCCTCTTCATGGGTACACCCTGAGATCTGAAATGACCCACTTCAGGCTTCGTCAAATGTTTCTCTTTCTTTTGTCCACAGCCAATCTAGCTACCACCAGATCATTAAAATCATTAAAATAGAACAAAAATTTTCAACACGGTAACCACATCTATCTAAGCAACACAGGATAAATTAGAATCATCTTATATATTAGCCATCATTCATGCATTTGAAACAACAGTGTGTGTGAAGAGTAAGAAAGTTGTGCTAGAAGCATTGAATTTTCCCCTTCAACTTTGGATTAGAAATGATCTCTTCCAATATTCAAATGACTTCTTATGAATTTAAAACTTCAATTCTATGTTGCCAAGGTGACATGAAAAGGCGACAGAAAATAAACTGGGCCTCCCACTGCAAATGGAATTGGGTAAGACTTCACACGAATTTCAAACGATTTTTAACAAATTCCAGAGTAAAGCCCAAGTTTGCATCATTTCTAACAAAAGTTGATTCCAATGTCTGCAAAACATAACTGATTGAATTGAGATCTACCCTTAGAAATGAGAAGGGTTAGTTATAATGGCGTAAACAGCAATAACTTTGTACCTAATCAAAACAAATGAAAAACAGATATCATAAAGGCAAAGCCAGAAATCTGATAACCTGGAGTGCGAAAATGCCGTCTGTTTCTGGAATTTTGACTTGGGAAACAATGTTATCGTCCATCCAAAGAATGGAAATGGGTATCCTAGCGCCCCACTTGTCCCATAATGCTGTCATTCCACACTTGACAGCGATTACTCCCGTCCGCCTCGAATTGGACGTCATCAGTCCAGGAACGGCCTCGATGATTCGAGAGCTCGAGGAGTTATCATTCTCTTCAATTACTGCATCAGCACTAAATGTCCTGAAGTGTGTACCAGAGCGTATTGGTGTAGTTATAGGTGATGTTGGGGCGACGAAGAGGAGCGGCCTGAGACGAGAAACGAGGTCTCTCGACAAGGCCGACATACTGTTACAGGGAAAATTTGATTGACAATTACAGGTGGGAGAGGGAAGAGTTTTGGAGGAGGGTGGGGGAGATTACAGTGTAGGAGTAGGGTTTTGGTTAATATATTATTATTTCTATTTTGCAGAAAATAATTATTTAAAGTTGTGACTTGAAAAAATATTTTAGTAGAAGATTACTATATGGCTGTTTGAGCTCAATGATCTAAAAAATCATTTTTTTTCAACTGTACATTTTTTCAATAAAATAAATTTACAAACTCAAAAATTTTCTGTACTTCTTATTCACATATTCTCCAAAAATAAAATCACTGTTACAGAATCTATACTACCAAAACTAAGAATCAAACGGAGGCTATATCAATTGTGTGATATAGATGAACATTTTATACTGGAATCGATCAAATCGAATCGAATCTTTAGTTCTTAAATTTCGAGTAGGTTTTAGTTATTGAAGTTGAAAACCAACGAGTTAGTTAGGTCCAATACTCAATTCTAATAACTCGACTCGAAAACCGTCTTACCTAATTTTTCTTTTTTATGGTAATAATGAAAAATATAAGTGTAGACTTGAACCAAATCACTGAGTGCCACTCGTAATTGTATACATTGGCTATTCATCCAATAATTGTCTTGGCCAAAATCAAGCCACTCGATTGGATGCAACGTGCAATTACAAGCAGAGAGACATCTTCTTCTTGGATCTCAGCTGTAACAGAGACGGGTTACATGTAATGGAGCTGCACTTACACCTCCATCTCCATTCAAATTCTCATCCATTTTCAAAGCCCATAATCCTCCCTAAATGTCCCTCTATTTCCACATTCATTGTTCCAATTATCCGGGGGCGGCAGGAGAAACACCCAAGGTTAGTATCGGAACTCTCATTCTCCCGGAGAGCTGAGGTGGCGGAGGCGGCGGAGATGACACTCGAGCAGCCTGGAGGGAAGATGGTGGTGGAACTGGTGGGGGCCTTCAACGAGCTTACTGAGAGAATGAATAACACTGTACTCTCCACTAGCTCGTCCCGGTTGCTATTCAAGGCCCTTAAGCTTTCTATTCCCATTCTCCACACTCTCCCGCCGGCCTCTGACGGCCGGTCTCCTCTTGAAAAGGCCTTGTCTGTTGCTGTCATCCTCGCCGATCTTCAGGTCAACGCTCAACCAAATCCTTCACTCTTTAGATGACAAGTAATATTTTTCATCAACAAACTAACTTCCAATTATTTTTTTCTTATACTGTGTTCGGTTCATCGCTACGTCCACATTAGTTTAGTCTACTCCTCTCCTCTCTTTTGTAGTATTTCTCACAATTATAAATTTTGTCCAAACGTGAAAATGAGAATCTAATGCCATGATTCTTGGAAGAAATTTACGTAAAATTGTTATTTCTCTCTAGAGTTTGATACGTGCTCAAATAGTTATTTTAAGGCCCTTTAGCCTTCTTAGCTCCTTGTAAGAAAGCTTTTTTTAGAAGCTCAAAATCGATCATATTTAAGACTGGCTGCAGATGGATGCTGAGGTTATTTCTGCTGGAATTCTTAGAGAAGGTCTAGAAGGAGGTGCCATATCCATATACGAAGTGAAGGATCGTATTAGCATTGGCACAGCCCATCTATTGCATGAAAGCATGCGTTTGAAGAACGTTTCTTCTAAAGTAGAAGTACTAGATGATGAGAGTGCTTCTGCACTGAGGAAATTTTGCCTGTCATACTACGATATCAGGGCTATAATGCTAGACCTCGCTCTAAAGCTTGATACAATGAGGCACCTTGATTATCTCCCCAGGTACAAGCAGCAAGTAATTTCTCTTGAGGTTATGAAGATATATGCTCCATTAGCGCATGCCATTGGAACCAATATTTTATCCCTGGAACTGGAGGATCTCTCGTTCCAGTACCTTTTTCCGTGTTCCTACCTGTATGTTGATGCATGGTTGAGGAGCCATGAGACTGGAAGTAAGCCTTTAATAGATGTATACAAGGAGCAGCTGCTTCAATCCCTAAGATCTGATCCGTTTCTAGCAGAAACAGTAGAAACTATATCTATTGAAGGTCGTTATAAAAGTCGTTACAGTACCATGAAGAAACTATTGAGAGATGGACGTAAACCTGAGGAGGTGTATGACATCTTAGGATTAAGAGTAGTATTAAGTCCTGCATCTGGATTGAATTCATCCGAAGCTGGTGAAAAAGCATGCTACAGGGTACGAGAAATCATCCAATCTGTATGGAAAGAACTGCCCAGCAGGTCTAAAGACTATATTGCACATCCCAAGGCTAATGGGTACAGAAGTTTACATATGGCTGTTGATATTAGTGACAGTTGTAAAACAAGACCACTCATGGAAATACAAGTACGTACAGCAGAGATGGATATGATGGCCGCTGGTGGAACCGCTTCCCATGCATTGTACAAGGGTGGGCTTACGGATCCTGAAGAGGTAAGAACTCTAATTCTTGAGATGCAATATAATAATCACTATCTCCTCCTCTTCAAGATCTACTTGCACTTGGAATTACCATTTGTTATCTTGTGTTTGAATCTATTTTTGAAGAGAATAGAAATTTTGGAGTAGTGATTGATGTGAGAATGTGTAGTGGAAAAGTCATGAAAAGTTTTTGATTTGTGTGTAATATTATTTTATTTGGAGAATATGCGGTTGAAATGAAGAATGAAAATGAGAATGAGAAATTAATAGGTGTCAAACGGGGGCTTAAATTTCCTCTCCGATCATCATCAGAATTGTAATTTTCATGGAGATAGTTATAAGCCAAGATCAATGTCATAAAATTAAGAGTTTGTTTGGGAGAGATTTTTTGGGGAAAAATTGATTTTGAATAGTGATTGATGGGAAATGTGTGGTTGAAAAAGAAGAAAAAATTATTGATGTGATGGAAAATATTATTTTATTGAAAAATGTGTGATTGAAAATGAGAATTGATTAAAAGTAGAAAAATCTAATCCCTCCCAAACAGGGCCTAAGATCTTCTGCTGTTCACTAATTCACAGGCAAAGCGTCTTAAGGCGATCATGATGGCTGCGGCTGAACTAGCTGCACTGCGTCTTAAAGATCTTCCTTCAGGAAATCCAATTGGGCTTGAAATTGATCGTAGAGATCGTGTGTTCCGCCTTCTTGACAAAAATGGAGATGGTAAAATCAGCATTGAGGAACTTATGGAAGTAATGGAAGAGCTTGGTGCTCAAGGGGAAGATGCTCGGGAGATGATGCGCCTCCTTGATGCCAACAGTGATGGTTCTCTAAGTTCGGATGAGTTTGATATGTTCCAAAAACAGGTGAACATATATGGTAAATGAGAAGCTTATGATTGTTCTATTTCACCGTTAAAATCTTACTCGTGGATCATCTTGTTGATTTTTTATGCCAGGGTAGCTGCCACCAGGCGTGAGCATATTGCATACAGAATTATTTTAGGATTTAATTTTTTTGTTAAGTTTTTTTGGCTTATGAATGCCATTTTCCATGCGAAATCAGGAAAGGACAGAAAAGAGTCACGTCACTATGATTTATGCTCTCATTTGATTTCTTGTTGAAAGTGAGATATTAACTTTACTATCTATATTCCATTGGAGAAGTACGGCATTCATATGCATTATTTGCAGTATAGATTTATCTGTGAGTACTATTAAATAAGGTAGTACAGCAGATTCTAAAATAAAGACATGTAAGATCGGTGTTTATCTATCGAGTGCTTATGCATTGCATTCATGTTCATTCTGTAGGTTGTATTTATGCGTAATTTAGAAGATAGAGATGCTCAATACAAGACCCTTTTAAACAAAAAGCTTGAAATGGTAGATAGCATTGGGTTGATTCAGGCATACACTAAAGAACTTGGAGACAGACTTGCCATGAACTAGCCCTTATCAGGTATATTTAACTTACAGCAAAATACTTGGAGACCAGTCTACAACTCTTTCGTCTTGCTAGTTCTGGTATGGGTATCTTCAGAGCACATCATCTCTAAAGAATAATTATGTAGAGTAGTTCTACACCATGTAAATAGAACACCCTGTTCTCTTTGTTCTGGAACACTGATTTTTCTGTATTGTGGCATTTTAAGAGCGATTTATATGCAAATAAATGTATGAAGTGGTCATTTGTAAGTATGCAAATTTGGATATATGTACAAAGTAAGGAATAATCATTTCCTGCACTCTGTAAAGGGGTACAGAAATGTTATCCAACTTCCTTCGATTTACTGTTTAATTTGATAGTGTACTCTCTATGCTGACATATATCAAAGTTTCATTGAAAAATGCATCACTTAAATTCGATTTATTATGTAAATAGTTTTTCTATTGACTGCCCAACTTTATTTGAAGTTCAAATTAGACTAAATAAATAAAACCATTTGGCAATAGAAGCAGAGGTGTTTAAGCTTAAGATGTCAAAATATCAGCTTAATGATGAGCTAACAAATACATAATTGATCTCCAGCGAGTCAAACTCGTAAAATTGTCTGGAGAGTTGTCTGGAGAGTTGAAGGATGTCGTGCTTGTTCAGGAAAGGCCAACAGATGTTGAAGACTCCACCAACTTAACAGTATATAAGATCAGATTCGCAATGAAGTTTTGCATAACAGATTAGATTTTATTGAAGCTAGAAATGCAGGCTTTAATATACCATTGATGCCAGTCTTCTCCAAAAACAAAAGCTGTTTATCCGGGATGCATCTACACTTACCTTACAGCTTCTGAAAATTCTTATAAAACAAATTTATAATCTATTTCTAGGCTTCTTTCTGCTCTCTTTTACCCCATAGCTAATATGATTCTCTCGTTTCAGCCTACCACACCATCAAGGGTAAAACACTTGACATTTTTCAAACCCTTGGACAGAATTGAATTGAATAGAATAATATCAATTGGTATTCTGAATAGTCTTTGAAATATAGTAATTACATTTATTAATTTCTTTGCCAGCATTGCTGCCATCTACCTCCAAATTCTAGACCTCTGCGGCTAGGTGCTCTGGACTTGCCGATACACCCAAATCACTTGATAGCTTTTTACACAACTGCATAAAGCACCGTATGAGAAACTGTTGGAAATATGTATGCCATTAAAAGGGGGCACGAGGAGAACTACTTGAGGAATACCTGTCTGTATGCTGTAGGATCACCACATGATTTTCGCAACTCAACTACATACAAGGATGGGCTTATCTCAAAAATCTGCCAGAAATGGTAAATTAGGGAAATAATTTAAAAATTTGTTTAAGACAAGATTATGCCATGTGTTCTAAAATATCATCCCTTAATATACTTACTTCTGCAGCTACTGAGAGATTGCCAGGGCCTTTCTGACCTTTGTGCACTTGCATTACTTTCAACTGTACAAATCGACAGAAACCTAAATTATTCTAAAATTTTAGTGAATTTTCACCTAAATGTTGTAGCAATTAACATCATTGATAAAATGCCATGAGGATAATATTCTAGTAAGATTGAACTCCATTTTTTGCCAGCCAGATTTTTCCGAAGAAAGAAATTAAGAGAGACGATACTAACCTTTCCATTTTTCTTCTGGACTTGATATCCCATCTGGAGTGCTGTATTTTCCATACTCTCAAGCAATGCTTTTGGGGAATGATTTGATGTAAATCTGATTTGTCTCTCAGAAACATCCTGAAGGAAAATAACTTTTGTCATATTATATTGCTCAAGTGACAACACAGTGTGTGAAGCTGCTAACTTTTTATTGTCATCCTTACCTCTTTTTCAAAGAAGCCGGAAAGATCTAGGAACGAGGACATTCCAATCAGCTCAAAGGCATTGATGAGGGTGGGTGATTCTGGATCTTTTTCTGCATCTGATGGCTGTAGAATGGATACGTAATGCAATTAATTTAAGAGAAGAAGAAGTGAAATGAAACTGATGCAAACAATGAAGGCTTAATTTCAAATTACCTCATATATTGATGATACTTCATCATCTGATGCATTTCCTTTTTCTGTTTCTTCTTCAATAGGATCTACAGGAGTGTAGTCTTGTTTGAACCACAAATCTTCTTTTATCTCCTCCATGGTAATCCGTGTATGCGGGTTGGGATCTAAAATCCTCTTTATTAGGCTTTTGGCTCCTGGCGATAGCCACTTGGGTATCTGAACGTCCCCCTTGAAAATCTGCTATGCAATTGGGAGATTATAGGTACAGTTTTTCTAACTTCAGAAAAGAGAAAATCGTTGTGATGCAAGGACTACCTTCTGATAGAGTACTGCCATATTTCGATCATCAAATGGTAGGTACCCTGTAAGAATTACGTACAAGATAACACCGCAGGACCATGTATCTGAGGTTGCACCATCATAACCTCTGCAAGATAGAATTTCAGGGGCAACATAATTTGGACTTCCACAAGTTGTATGCAACAATCCATCTTCCCTAAGATGATGTGGTAATGCACTGAGGCCGAAATCAGTTATCTTCACATTTCTCTTGGCATCGATCAACACATTTTCTAGCTGTGCTCTAGAAGAGAACATTAGAGGATATCAAAGAATCACACTAATGTGAAAGAATTATGATAATCAGAAGCAGTGTTTTTATACCTTGAGATCTCTGTGAAAAATACCATTGTTATGGCAGTAACTAATCCCATCTATTAACTGATGGAAGAGCTTCCTGCCTTCAACTTCCGAGAGTTTTCCTTTGGATGCCTGTGAAACCATCGATCATTGATCAACATTCTGAACACAATTTTCAATATCTCAAAGTGAGACGAGGCCTTTATATTGCAAAAGTTACTTACAATTCTGTTAAACAGTTCACCGCCATTCACATATTCGAGGACCATGTATATCTTGGTTTTGCTTGCCAAGACCTGCTTGGTTGTTCATAAATAAAGAGAAACACTATTACAATGAGCAAAC